ATGAAGCAATTCAGCTTTCCTATTACAGCTACAGATATAAGACATAAAATGAAAGAATAATCAGGGAGAATTTGAACCTAGTAATCATTAGATCAATAAAAAGGAATTTGTTTAGGACAACTGGGAACTTAAGAATGTAAAAGCAAGCACAAAAGTGATGTTTTGGCCAGGAATGTCTGGAAAAGGAAAATAATTTTTTTCTAATGTCAGCAGAAAACCTTTGTCTAAATGTCAGCGGCAAGAAGAAAATATGAAATCATCAGCAAAAAGAAACATTTATCATTCCTGAACTTCCATGTCACCTATGGCAACTTCTGGGAACAAGTTTTTCTGCAGGGAATAGTATGAATATTTACTGGCAATTAATTTCAAATATTTTTAAGTATCTCCCTGAAAACAAAATATATCATTGGATTTCCACTCCAGAATGGTCTTCAGTATCTAAGAGAAGAAAAAGTGTGAACAGTAACAGCTACTTTAAAGCAATATCCGGAAAGATTTTCATAAAAATCGATGACTGAGGACAGTAGGGTTTTCTGGTTTTGTTGCATGGACATAGTTGAACCTAAAATGCTGAAAAAATGAACCCAATGCAGTCTTGTAAGTCACAGTGACAATCATCACAGTGAAACATTTATATAGGGTTCACTTAAAAAAAGTGAATCAAGAACAAATGGCCAAACTCATAACAGGCTATTAGCAGATAAACATGAAATTCCTCCCCTGTGAGTGTAGCAATGCTCTGGTATGTACCCAGTCCAGCACTGCTTCCCAGGCCCCACAGCTCCAAGTGCCTTATAGCACCTTGCATCTGTAGGGGCTGGAAAACGACAGCAGCAGCTCATCTCCTTCAAGCAGGCAGAACTTTCAGATGAGGCCCCCACAGTGCAAACCAGCCAGTCTGCAAGGCAGCTCAGGCAGCCACAGCAGAAGGCTGATGGACCCCTACCAGCCCATCTGGCTATAGGAACCCCTCCTGCTGTGAAACACCCCTTCTGATCAGTCCAGAGAGGAAACTTGTGCTCCACTCTGTCCCTTCCCTCTGAAAGCTTGGTGGTGCTGCTGTGTCCAAGGTGCTCCTGGGGGCTCTTCCTGGTACTACACACTACTCCTCTGTAGGATCAGACCGAGTTCTGGCCTGAGGTTGGTGGGAAACTCGTATGATGTTGAACAGAGGTTTGGCTCTCCTGGCAGGATGGAGGAAAGGATCCTTTGCTTGCTCTAAACACAAAATAAATTGCATCTTATAAAGAAAAGATGATGGGCCTGCAGGTAAAGACTAGGAGTAAGTAGGTACTTTTCTGCTTACCAGGGTCTGAGTGGAATGCTCATTTTGGAGATACACAAAAATAGCTAGGTTGACAAAGATGTTTCTTTGAGGAAATGTTTGAAGTATTTTGTAAATTGTGGTACAGCCTGAAATGTATATCCTACCACAGAGTCTATGCTGGAATTGTGATGAGACCCAAAACCGTGACCACAAGAAGGCACAATGTCTGGAAGAACTAGATCTATCTTTCTCAGAGTGTTCATCAGTAAATAGAATGAATTCATCTTTTTTCTGCATAGAAGAAGACCTGAAGGACTCTCAGAATACTTAAAATAAAACAATAGCCTTTCTGTACTTTTGTACCAAATTTCCACTCTCTAGTAAACAGAGTTTTTAATATTACAATCTGATTACCAGATACTGGATTATATCCACCATGATCTTTTTTAGGGAGGTTACTTAAAAAAAACCCTAAGTGAAACAATTCACATCAGTTTTGTCATGATCAGAAACATGCCTGTTTACAAAAACAGGAGTTTTAAGAAAACAGTAAGAAAATGGCACAAAAGGAGATTCAAGCCACTGCTCTCTGTTGTGCCACAAGATAAAGTATATGGAGGCACCAAGAGGAACAGCTAGAGTGCTTTGGAGACAGTCTACATACACAGAAATGGCAAAATGGAGAGATGGCAGCACTAGCTCCACCTGGTGCAATGAACACTGGAATTCTTAGCAAATAGGTACATGTGGTGTTTTTAGGAGTTAACACTGGAAATTATAATCCAACATTGGCTCCAATCACTTCACCCGCAAGCTAGGAAACCAAAAATCCTAAAGGAAAAAGCAAAGTAGCAGCCTCAGAGTATGATATAAACCTATTAAAAATCAGCCTACACCATGTCTCCAAGAATTTAAAGACTATGAAAATCAACAAATTTTACTATTCAATATCTAAGCAAGAGGCTTCACCATTATCTAATGGCTGGCCAAAGCTAGATAACAGTATGCAGTAATATTTGAATAACACCTTGACAATGCCAATAGTGCACAGATTATTAATGAAAACTTAATACGAAGTTAAGAAAACTTAAAACGAAGGCCTCATTTGCCATGGTTACTGAAGTTTAGTTGAAAACTTGGCTTTTTTCCCTATGGCCTACCTGTCAATTATCTAAAGATCTTATAGGGTGTCTCAAAAAATGAAGCCTGGATTCTGGAATATAACCCTTAACTGAAATTGTTAAAATCTTTTGTTAAAAGAGATAAACATTTGCATTTCCTGTTCTGGGTTTGTGTAGTTCTGGACATATTATTACCATGGAAAATTCAGGAATAGGAATAACAGATTCTGTAAAAGAAACATCTTAATGAAAAGGCTAATTAATAAATCCCATGCCTATGCAATGTTTCAATGTATTTATAATTTTAAACCCACATTCATGGAATTCTGAACCCAGCACAGTTTTTATTTTGATAGATTGGAAGAGCAGATATTTTACCAACAAACAGGAGAGCCTCCAAATTTCTTTAAATCATTCTGCATAATTATTTTTCCTTAGTCTCAAACTAAATTTCAGTGATGCAGAAAAATTCAAGGTAACATTGTTTAGTACATAGTTTGTAAAGTACCTTTTTGTGTATATGTATCACACACATATGCACATGTGCATGCACTCACGTTCTCTTTGCTGTCATTTCACCATTAGGTTCTGTATAAAAACTGCAGAGGTTCTTTGGATAGTTTCTGATGGCTCAGAATACCCACTGAGACTGAAAGCAAGCCAGAGTTTCTGGAAACCTAAATCTTCTCATTTTAATAGTTTTGCAAATCCTTGGCATTTTGCTTTGAACTTTAACCAAGAAAAGTTATATCTTATAAACAATGGCATTTGTTGATTGGATGAAGGACTAGATCAATATTGATTTTGGCAACTTGTTTTGGCTGGGTTTGCATGAAGAAATATGCTGGTTGTGGTGTTAAAAAGTTATGTCAGTTCCTCAACATGTGCCTCTTTTTCTTGGAGCACTGCCTGAAAAATAGTTTCCAAAGTTACTTCCAGAAGTTAACCTAGTGGCTATCTATTATTGTGAGCTAACAACAGCCTTCTGCTGAGCTATCAGCATGTATGAAATAAAACCATTCAAGAAAGCAGATTAAAGACAGATTAAAAAAATGTATTTCTGTTTCACAGAAGTTCTAAAGCATAGTACCCCATTTTTATTTCAAATGAATCTGATCTACATTATTCTTGCAATTTAAAAGGAGCTCTAAAGTGAAAATACAGAGTAATAGCAACAAGACTTTGGGCACTCTGAGAATTACCTAGTTGACACACAGCAAAATAAGAGCCATAGGATGCACACGAACTAGTCCTGATTCAAGGGCAGCACCAGGAATGAATAAAAATGTATCTGTTAGAGAAAATGTGCCATTTTCATTTCAAAGTTTCCACTGAGACAGAATCCACTGTAAACTGATAAATTGCTACAATTATCATCACAGCTGAAATTTCCGTCTGGTTTTGAATTCAGTTTTTCTAGTTTCAGCTTCCAACTCTTTGAGCCTCTGATACCAGTGCTACAGGAAAGAGTCACGTTGAAAGTGACTATCTATTCATACATCTATCCATCTACCTACTGATCTTCCATTTCCTGTAGATGCTGTTAGTTCACATATCTTTCTTCTCTCGTGGTGCTCAGCCCTCTGATGTATTTCCAAAAAGCAATCATATCACATCCCAGGCTTTTTTTTTCCTATGATAAACAAGACAAGCTCCTTCATGTCTGCTCTACCAAAGCAATTTTCTCCATTTCATCCCAGTGCCTGCTTTATTAATGCACAAGTATGAATTCTCAAACATGAGTGAACAAATTTTCCAGATAGTATCTTACCAATACTCTTGAAAAATAGTACTAATATTTTCCCAATTTTAAGACAAAACTTTCCTCACCTGATTCATCCTGAGATTACTTGTCCCTTTTTGCATTCAGGTCCCTTTGTTCCTCTGACTGCATCCTGTGGCTGTGACTAGCCTTTTCATTTGTGGGGTTTTTACTGTGCCCTCATGAGGAATGCCACTTTACAACAGAAATTTATGTTCTTTGACCCAGAGGATGGAGTTCATCTCCTCTGTCTCTAGGGACTTTTGGAAAATGATTTAGTCTGTCCTGAGATAAATGAGCAGTAAAAAGTTCCTATTTCTATGTGTTGAATACAAATGCCTTGAGAACTGCTATACTGCGTAGTATTTCATCCAGAGATTATGTGAATACAGTGTTGCATTCCCCATCCCCTAGAAAAGAACAAAACCACTTACTTAACATTTCTAGATTTTCTGGATTATTTCCTTATTTCTCATTTTCATCTAATAATGATTAAATACATTGTCTGTGGTTCTCTCTGGTGTCATTACTTTTGGTTCTTGATTTTATATATATTAAAAATTATAATGAACCTATCTGTATTGTCTGGGAATCATCTCTTATTCCCACCTCCCCAAAAACATGGATATATCCTTAATTTTTAACATCCAAATGAATTATTTCTTAAGGTAATACAAAAAAGACAAAACTCTACTCTATGTTGACATACATTAGGATAAGCAGAGTAAAATTATGAATCATTAGAGCTGCTGTTATTGAGTTCCTTTAAGGATTTTGTGATAGCATTTTCCGGTAAATTCCTTCATTATTCCAGAAATCCTTTATAGAGTACACTCAGTTAAATGTATCTTATTCACTGCCAAATCTAATAATATCAAGAAAAGGAGAGAAAATATTCTACAAGTAAGTGGCTCATTTTTTTCATTTTACAAGAAAATTTCAGTCATTTCAGACCTTTGTAAGTCCAGCTGTTGCTGAAGTCATTCAGAGTCTTCTGTCTGAAGTTTGATCAGTGCTAGTTTTGATGGCAGGATCTGTTATCTGTTTGAAGTGGAAAGTGATAGAAGATTCTTTAGCATTTTATTCGAAGTTTGGCCAGAGAGATGAAATTCTCTAACCGTTTTTGCCTGAAACGGTGCTTCTAAATTATGATGAGAACAGAAATAATCTCCTTATTGCTCCAGAATTTGGCAGCCACCTGAAGGAACAAGCTGTACCATGGGATTTCTGAGTCTCTGACTCTAAGTTGCCAAATTCAACTATCAGAGTCTATCCCAAAAGTGGGAAGAAAATATAAGTTCTTTCTCTGAGGGAAAAAATGAAATGTTTCCCTTTTTAGACCTTACTTCTTTAACTTTGCTCAGTCCTAATGCATGTTAAAAAAATTATTTACCAGGCCAGGTTCATGATACTAAAATCAATCCAGACTTCCTAAGAATCCCCCAGGAATTTTCAGGTGACTTGTCAGCTGTGTAGTATCTTGTCTGGCTCCTTCTCTAATGCACAGTGCATTTGATGCAATAGTGTCCCTACCACTGAGGCCAGAGCAGGGCTTTGGCCAGGGCCCATCTTGCTGGAGGCAGCAACTGCATTCAGCAGAAGCAACAGTTCCCTCCACGATCTCAGCTGGACCAAAGTGGTGGGAAAAACTTCATTTTCTGTTGGACTTTTAGGGGAGGCCTCAGATCACATCTAGGTCTCGTGCTTGTGTCTATTGGGTCAGAAAGCCCTTTATCATCAAATACTTTCTTCTTCAATGATCACAACTTGCAGACTCACTCCTAAGTTTATTACATGCCTAATAAGTAGGTTGAGCTCCTTTCACTCTTTGTATATCCTCCAGGTCTTCAACCATTGCTTTGGATCCTCTTTGAGTTCCCTCCAATTTTTTTTGAGATCAGTCTTGAAAGGTAAAAACTAGAACTGCCCAAGAACAGCAAGTAGAAGCTGTTGAAGCAATGCCAGCTACAGAAACTCCCAGCCAACTCAATTACTTGGCTTCTCAGGTTGGTGTTTTACATATTGAATTCCACCACTTAGCTCCATCCTCCTGTTAAAATGACAAAATAATCAATGAGATTATCATTCAAACTTAAGATCTTCATCAATGGCCCACAAATATGAGACATTGTTTCCCCAGCCATGCTAAAGACACGTTGACCAGTACACACACATGCCTGGTCACAGTTCAGAGAGATTCAGATGCTCACTGCCTCCCCACCCAGCTCCTTGAAGAGACTCATGGGCAGGTGGGAGCCAACATGCACTTCAGCCTCATGCTCGAAGTGAAGAGCTAGAAAACAGCTACCTTGAAGTGCTTCACAGCATGTACCTCTGGTACAACGTAAATATATCCACAGAGACATTCAGGCTCTCTTTAGAGGCCCAAAACTGTAGACATATGACTCACAGAGTGAATAAAGCTAGAGATAGAGAGTAAATACAGTCCTTTTACCTTCTGATATGAGATTTCTCAAAACTAGGCATGAAGGGCAGGGAAAACGTAAAATTACATAGTTCTGCCTTTTTATAGCACCAGGTTGTTAAATTAACAATTCTTATATAAAGGCCTCTTTTTTAGGAAATGTATTGCTAAAAAAGCCATTGCAAAGTGGGTCAGAAGCAGAGTGAGTAAAAACCATTAAAGCAGTTTAAATAGTATGATAAGCACTTGCTAGACTTTTGCTGGGTCTGGTTTACAGCATCAACTTGCAATGATCTTGCAAGCGCTTTGACCTCCTGAGCCACAGAACCAACAGTCTCCTACTCTATCCCCATTCCTCTTTACCCCTCTGGCTTTTGGGCTAAACTTTGTTTGTTTAGCTCAAAGTGGAAAAAGGAACTTATTCAGCTCTTTCATCTGAAATTCACTAGCTACCTAAAGAGCAGACTTCCTGGTTCATGTATGGAGCAGGTCATATTCCTCTTTCACTATGACTGTCAGGTCTGTCATATAACTCCACAAACCCACTGTAGAGAAGTTCAGACATATTTTAGAGAAGTAGTTTACTTTAGCTAAATATAAAAGGGCAGGGACTTGCTTTCAAAGACTGAAATTTTGCTTTAAAAGTGATCTTATTAAGAGAAGGAAAATGAGTCAGTAGCATGTGGAACACGTATTATGTGTGAGACATCTTACCCAAGCAAGGGGAGAGGAGTTACAGAGAAGAGTTTTGCCTGTGCTTGCAACAGCCTTCAAAAGCTTTTTTCCCTTTGATTTGCAGGACTGCATGTTGCTTTGTTCATATACAGAACCAGCCATTATGTGTATCCAACATCCCAACTTAGCAAACAACTCAATTACATCCTCCTGTCTAGTGTCAGTCATTTGAGTGGCACTGCCAGTACAATCTAGAAGTAGAGATATATGAAATGGTCAAGTTCATCTGAGTTTCGGGATAGGTCTTAACATACTCCACATTACATCATGCTGTGGTAGCAGCAGAAAAAGGAAGTGGTGGAAAGCTTCTGACCCAGTCAGCTTTCCACTGCATTTGAGGTGCTCTGTAACTCACAGAGCCCCAGCACCAGCTCTGTGATAACCTGTCTCTCCCATTTCTCATCATCCCTCAGAGCTGTTGTGCTTTCCAAGCAGGGATGTGACTAATAGGAGAGAAACAGGATAAAAGCAGGACTGGGGATAAAATTATGAAATCACATGGCCATTTGGCACTGATCAGGTTCAAAAATCACGAAGTTGTCAGGAAGAGAGATCTGAGATATTAGACAGGTCTAGTAACTTTTACAAGAAACACCCACATGCTCTTCCATCTTCTAACGTTTTCTCCTTTACGTATGTGTATGGCAGGAGGAAGCTATTACTGCTTTCATTTTACACATGAAGAACTGAGAGTCAGCGCTTGTAACTAAGCAGCCCAGTGCAGGGACACACAAATCAGCACAGTTCAATCATGTAGCAGCAAAACAGGCACTGGGAATAGAACAGCCATGCTTGCTTAGCTAGTCAGCCCTGCTGGAAAGCAGCCTATGCCTTGCAAATGAGATTATCCTGCTTCCAGAAACCAGGATTTCTCATTAAGGGACTCTTTCAGTATCTGAAATTTGGCTTTAGAAATTGTCTTGGTATGAAAAGGTTTAGTGCTGGCTTGATCATCTCTGAATGGAAAGGTACCCAAAGGAACTGAAAGGATCATCCAAAATAGTAGTGAAGACTTTCAGAGGAAGCAGGGGCAGAGAAAGTAACTGTAGCCACATGTGTTTGCCAAACTAACCCTAAATCCATGAAATGTCTGCTGTTCTGCCAGTGGATATGGAGACTCTCACTCACATGAAAAAGCTTTGACTTGGGCTCCTGGGTATGTCAATGGCTCCACTGAAATTATACTACTGTTTTCATAAGCTATTTATTTCCTGTTAATACTTTGGAAAAATTCTTAGAAGAGACTTAAATGAAGACAGTATTGCAACTTGGCAAGTTCACTACAAAATTCATTAGTGCTCTTTTTTATTTTCCTTTGCAGAGCTCTGGTGCCTGTCATCAATAGTCAAGGGGAGAGTTGGGGGCTCTTTTGTTTGATTCTGATTCTACAGAGGAAAATCCTACTGGCTTTAGTGTTTTGGCCTTTAAAAATTATTGAATTTCCCCTAGGAAGTTGCAACTCTAAAATATTCTGTACTGATACATTTTTAAATGTGCCCAGATGTTAAATGTTTACATGAATTAACTTGACTTTTTGAGTACCTGAGACAGAAAGATTTCCTAATTAAAGAAATATATATTCTCTATTAGACTTTCCTATCTATTGTGATTCAACCCATATGATCAATCTATTTTCCTCCTGTCCTTCCTATGGATTGCAGAGATCATTCAGCCGTGGTGATTTAACATAATGCTGTGCTGTGTTCATACAGAAACACTACACAAGGGAGATTCCAAAGGGATTTTAGCAACCCTCTTCTAACACAAGATTTTTTGTATAACAGTACTTGGCCAAAGGCAAAAAGAATTTCCTTTTGGCATTTTCTTTTCTCCAATGAAAACACAAAAAGTGGAAGTTAGATAGTACTGTTATTAGAGCTTTGTTGCAATGAGAGAAAAAGTGGCGCTCACAACAGCATGGATACAGCAGATGAGAGACAGCTCCTCTGCTAGACCGTCATTTGTTCAGCTTCTTTCCTAGATTTAGGTCTTTATGGAGCTGATTCTTCTCTTGGGCCATAACTAGCACATTCCACTTCCTTTTCTTAGAATCCTCTGTATCACTGGGAGTTTGGGAGGGCAGAGAGCAAGTAATGAGTTCAGTGTTGAGCTCTTTGTGTTTTAAATTTCAGTTACTAAGGAGATGCTTGGAAATTTTAAGGTTTCATCTGTGTGGATTTCTAATGGAAATAAAAAGATGAAGACAGAACCTGTCAAAAAATCCATAAGCAGAAAAAGCCACCTATACTTGTCCTTGGCTGCAAGCTGAATGGAGTAGGAAGCACCAGAACACAGCAGTTCTGTTTCATGCACTCACTGGAGCCAGGGAAAAGTGTTGATATTTTCATAGAAAACATTTCAAAATAATCTTCCTTCTGCAACAGCTTTCAGATTCTCAAGTCTTTTTCTGGTTTGTATTTTATTCCCTTGCTCTCCTTCCATTTCACCTTTACTAGTGCAAGAGAAGAGAGTACAAAGGTGGCAAATAATCTAGCTAGCTAGATGCATAGGTAGGTATCTTGCAGTAACAGGGCTGTATATATGACTTAATCAGGCCTGTTGAATTGAAATGCAGTTTTCAGATTTCCTCCCATAAACCCAGCACATGCCAGACTCAGTCCCTGTGACTGACATGCCGTGCTGAAGGCCCTCACACATCTGTGCACAGGCAGCTGATGGTACAGTGTGACATTATTTGCGTTCCTGCTCCACCTCAAACAGAACAGACTTGTCTCTAAATGGGCTCTTTATTCTTCTGACTTGCATTTGTCACCTGTAAATGCTGAAATGTAACTTAGTCTTGTTTCCATTTACTTCTCCTTTATGCTGTGTGTAGACAAAGCAGCAGTAGGTCCTTGAAGAGTTCCCAATTTTTATTAAA